TTTTAAAAAAACAATCAACAAAAGCTGTCCCTATTCAAGTGCCCGGCAGTGCATAAGTTATTGACACTTAAAAAAAACCTTCGATTACGCAGCATTGTAGCCAATTCAATTTTCAAGTGGCTTCAAAGTACCGACGATTTTTGACCTTTTTATAAGCTTTAATTATATATCACTTGTGTGTAACACTACAAAAAAATTTTCCGTTAGGTGGAGCGGGGTCGGTTTTTTCATTTTTATCTTAATTTTGTTTAATTAATTTAAATTTAAATTTAATTTTTTTTTTGGAAAGTCGAGTCAATAAGACACTTTTTTAAATACTATTTATTATTTTCTGTGATATAATTTATTTCCTTTTTTTGTTCCAATTGAAATCAAAGCGCTGAACCAAGTAGGCGCAAAGCCTAGTAAATGTACAGTATGAATGTATAAATAGATATTATTGAATTTAAAAGCCAAAAATTTAGTAATTTCAGCACGGCCCACAGTGTTTCGACTATACAGAGGCAAGTGGAAAAAGTCGGGGTGACAGTTGATTAAAAAAAAAACCAGTTGAACTTAGAGAAAGAAAAGTAAAAGTCACAAATACAAAATTTCCCATCATTTACTCACCCCTCCTCTCTACAAAAGGTACATTTCCAAAAAAAAAAAACCGAAAAGGCGCGATACCCACTGTAATCAATTCTTTATGGATTATTCGTGTGAAGGTATTTATCACTAATTTGGTATTTCTCTATTGTTTTTATCAAAAAATTGACTTGGAAATGTAAGTGCTAAGATTAAATGTGAGTTCCGGTTCCTCAGGTCTTGATTTTAGATGTATGATGTTGGGAATTTCGTAAAGTTTTCGAGCATATAATTGGATCTTTTCGTGCGATTTTGGAAAAACATAGAATTGTCGATTTTCCAAATTTTTTGATTTTCACCTTTTTTAACCTTCGCTTTTTTGAGAGTGGAAAGCAGAAAACAAAAATTAACCAAAATTCCTTCACATTTTTTGTGTGGTGTCGACGTTATAGTGATCCAACCTTCTTCATATTTCATAATTAGGGATTTCTAATAAAATAGAGAGTGCAAACTAAATTTCATTAAAATCTAATAAAATTTATTATTTTCGCCCAGTGTTTATTTTTGCACGCTATTTAACAATTCACTGCAACGAATTTGTTAAATTAGGAGACCTTAAGCAAATGTGGAAACTACAATAGTACATATGTATGTATGTATGTGCATTAGGGTGGGTTAAAAACAGTAAAGTCGGAATTGTAATGCTCTCACCCACTAGGATCGAAGAATTATACCCCTACTTTTTTATTTTGAAATCAAAAAATGTTTAGAGGTCGCTCAAAGCGCTCAAAGTTTTCAATGTATTTTTATATGAAAAAAAAACTTTTCGTAGAAATAGTATAGTAAATTCTTGAAATTAGTAGTAGTAGAAATTAGTATAGTAATTCTTGAAAATCAATATTTTTCGATCGGAAAACTCTTGTTCTCTTCAGGAGACTTTCAATAATAGTACCCAATTGTTTATTTAACAATTTTTTAACACTAACTATTTTTTATTGGTCCCCCTTTTGCATTTTTCGGGGGCTTTGCGGATTTTTGGCGGACCTATTAATTATAGTTGCGATTAAAAAAATGGTTAAATAAACAATTGGGTATTATTATTGGGAATCTCCTACAGATAAGCAGAGTTTTGCGATAGAAAAATATGGATTTTTAAGAATTCCATACCATTTCTATGAAAAGTTGTTCCTTTCCCATATAAAATACATGGAAAACTTTGGGTGATTTGAGCGACCTCTAAATATTTTTTGAATTCAAAAGAAAAAAATATGGGTATATTTTTTTCGATTTATTTATATAAAAATTCCGACTTTACTTTTTCACATGCAATTTAGGACCACCCTAATGTGCATTTACTCATACGCGCATAAACGCACAACAATTGAGAGAGTAGAGTGAGCAAGAAATTAATAAAGTCCAAGTTGCTTCAAATTAACAACCAAAATAAATAAATTAAAGAAAACAAAAAAAGGGAGTGACAAATCAATGCAAAATCCAACATGGCTTAATTGGTTATATACATATAAAGGGTGAACTTTTTAAACTCATAAATATAAATATCGTTATGGCAAAATGGACGGTCAGTACGGCATGACTGACTACGAGTATAATAATATTTATACAGAATTATTTCAAAATTAAAATTTTTTTTGTGAAAACGCAGTCAAAGTTTGATCTTCTAAGTGACATTTTTTAAAAATATAAGTTATACCCATATTTGTTTAGTTAAATATAGTATTTTACACGTACTTTGTTTTTGTTTTTGAGTGTTGAGAACGCAAATTTAAAGCTTTTACTCAAGAACGATAGAATATCGTGGCATTTACAACATTCCTAGCAATTAAATTCAGTTTGCGGACAAGCGTTGCTCAGCGCTTATAGAAATAATAGACATGACACCACTGTATGGTGTACTGCACTGTATGACGATGGGTACTGTGGTGACACTCAGATGGCGCCGTGTTCAATTCAGTACATTGCGCTATTGCGCTGGGTTAGTGTACTGACACCACAGGTGGCGCTGGCGTTATTGAGCTAGCGCCAAAAAAATTACGGAATTACCCATGGTTACAACTTTAACCTTAATTATCTTAAAAAAATTTAAGATCTACTTAGATCCTTTTGATTCTAACCCCTTCAATTCATACAGTTGGTATACCAAAAGACAGATGAAAAGTCATTGCTTGGAAGATCTATGGATGCCAGTTTTATCGTCTGCCAAAGAACTGTGTTGTCTTCAGAATAGAGCTTTAAGCTATAGAGGAGGCAGATGCATTCAATTTAAAAAGAAAAAACAAGAAAACCTCTTGTCGGCGTCATCGAAGGCTACCACACCAATGGTCAACCGAAGGAGAAAACCACCGAGCCTCTTTGCAGAAGCTACCGCCATGAAGATTAGGAGAAATAAATTTACCAATTTTTGTCTTGAATCTAGTCAAACACCTGAGGTCATGCGTTTTTTCCAGCCTGACAGATAAAGCGAAGGAGGGACTATTAGATACGGCGGGATAAGCCTTTTCAACATAACTTATATGGTTCAGACCTGACGAGTCCATTATTTACCAGGTGGAAAATACCACCTTTTTAACCATTCAATAAGAGGGAAAAAAAGTTGCCTATACGCGACCATGTTTAAAGGACTAATACGGCTATATAGAGTGACGTTGGACACAAAATTCAGCTCCGTTTGAATTAGGAAGGACCACTCCCTAGCGTTTGAGACCAACTGAGGTTTTAGACCAGTCGAATCACTCTCATCCAACCTCTTCAAACTAAGGCTGGAACGCATATTACAATCTGTCATTCGAAAATCAGAGCCTTACCTGAGTGTACAAAGCTCACGCTCTCCCAATATTCCGTCATGTCCGTGCTTTTATACAATCAGAAACGCGGACGATGTCTCATGAAGATGAGAAATCCGACGAAACTATTGGCTAAGAATATAAAATCAAAGACTGCCAACAGGCTTTATGCGCCGGGGGGGGCAGTTTGTGTGCATGTCCTACGGGCACAGCAGCATTATGTGAATAAAATTACTCGTGATGAATTAACCATATGATCCCGGACCTGCTCTTTGGGATTAACTTTGAAGCCGCTATAGAGACCAAAGGCTGGTTTGAGAGCATAAGGAGTGCTGGCCCGGTGAATGTGTACACAAACGGGTCGAAGATGGTGGATGGCGTTGGGGCGGCAGTCACCTGCTCGGTGCTTGGACTCAACAAGTCCTATAAGCTGCCGAACTACTGCAGCATCTTCCAAGCGGAAGTATTGGCCATAAAGAGCTACTTAGCAGGAACCTAGTAATTAAACAAGTTAAACTCTGCAATGACAGTCAGGTTGCAATAAAGGCACTCCAATGCACAGCACTTCCTCAAAAGTGTGGTGTAGAGCAGGCCAGATCTGGATTTGCTACATAATTGTATTGACGTACTTCTGTACAGGGTTACGGGGCACAGCGGCGCCGTGGGCAACAATGGGGCCGACAAGCTTGCCAAAGAAAGCGCTCTATCGGAAACTAAACCGACAGAGGAAATGCCGATTTTCCTCCAAGCTATTAAACGGTAGCTGGACTTGTCCACGGTCCGGAAGGCATAGAAAGTGTGGACCAAAACACAAGGCTGCAGGTGAGCAGGATTATGAGCAGAGCGTATGCCATAAAGCTCACGAAGTTTCTCTTATCCCTCAAGAGGGAGGATCCTAGGCTACTGGTGAGTGTTCTAACGGGACATCGGCAGAATGAATAAGGAGACAGTGAAGTATATTATCTGCGAATGTCCTGCCCAGCGGATTAGATCTGGAATCCGCTGCCAAAATGGGGTCAAATAAGTTAAGCTTATTAAGAGCCCCCGCTTGCGGTAGCTGGGAGCTGTCGTAGGCTCACCCATCCATGGATGAATAAAAGCTAAGATGAACTGGTGTAACTCCGAAAAGGAGAGGGAGGAAATTGGCGAAGTTCTTTGGTTTCGGCCTCAACCTCGGACTGCAGCGCCAAAGAAGTGGATGAAGAAGACGCAGAAAAAAAGGTACACCATTTAAATGAATATTTTCCGCGCCACACTTACTCAGAGAGAGCACTTACAAGGCAGAACTACGTACTTATGTTACCGATTGAAGGTATGGGACTCTCCATACATGTCCTGGTGGCAATTGCTAACCTATATTTGGAAAAAAACAAGCGCGCCGGGTTTGGCGAAAATAATTCGTTACTTCGTTCTTAAACGCCAAGTGTGTGGAGCTGCCCGCGTATGTAATTTGAAAACTTGCAGTCTACAAAACATCAAATTATCTTTGTAGTTACTACCACAGCATTGACCTCCTTAAATACTTATATTTTAGTATATTATTCAATAGCGGTAATGCAACACTTGGCAAAAACAAAAAAATAAAAAATAAATAAAACTAAGAGCGAGAGAGCGCGTGATGGCGGCGCAACTTACCTTGTTATGTTTTTATTATTTTCTTTTGTTTTGTTTTGGCAAAGCTGTTGTCTGGTGTTGAGGCTATTCAGATTTTGATATCCATCACGCATTGGTGTCATCGTCGATTTTTTGCGACGGATAGCCATGTGGCGCTCACGCGTCGGAAATTTAGGTTGCTTGCGAATGAATATCGGTTTTATGGCGAATTCATCACACATTTTGATTTTTGGCAATTTTTTGAGCAGCTGCGGTTTTTTAGCACTTTCAAAGCATGATGGGAGGCGCATTTTGGCGATTTAAATTAACAATAAATTATGCAACTCTTACTTCGGGCCAATTTGTTTATTAATAATGTATGTCTGTTTTTAAGCACAAAATATAAATTTTCTAGAAACCTGTATTACTTATACACTGTAAACACATTGCAATTAATTCAACTAAGTAAGTAATTCAACTCGACTTCACATCGACAGTTCGTTAAGTGCCCGGCTTCAAAGTACGACTGGCTTGTTTGTTAATTCGTTGAGTGCGATATGCGAAGACAAATGGCGAACTCAGTCAGTCATGAGTACTTAACGACAGTCACTATAGCAGTCGATAGCGAATGCTATATACGTACATATGTATGTATTTTTGAAGTATTGTGACTAACTTAAATTTTGTATTTGTTTATTTTTCTTATTTGTTTATTTTTCTTATTTTTTTATTTTTCTCGTATTTTTTATTGAGGAGTGCAGAAAATACGCCTCGTTTCACAGAAATATATTCACTTTTGAAACGCTTTGGTGCACATAAGTATAATAAAAAGTCATACGAATACTGATAAGCGCTGTTATAATTCGTTTTTTCTCTTCAATTTTTTATTTATTTAAAACAATTTCAGTCAACAATGTCGCAATGACATTCGAACACAAAATTTATGATTCGTAATTTATCTGGTGCAGGCGATAAGATAAGCGTTTCTATGTATGTATGCGCTTATACATATGTACGTATATGGAACTCGCTCATAACCACAGCAAGGCAAGAAGAAATGAAAATTATGCTCACACGCCACTGTTTTGTCCAAAGTAATCGAAACGTGTTCCGGCTAACAAAAACGCCAATTAGCATAAATTAGCAGAAAGTGAAAACTGAAGCGACTATCCATCAGCTGTTGGCATAACCACGCTCTCCAATGGCAACAAAGAAGCGCAGAACTGAGTTAGGCGGCAAGGGAAACAAAAACCCCAAAAAAAATACGTGTAGAATCGCTCCGAGAAGAAACCTCAATCGACTTTAATATTTATTCACTTTGTACTCACTAAAACTTAAGCGATATCGTCAGCTTTGATTACCGCTCGAATGTCAACTGAACAAACCGAACAGCTGTAACCAAGCAGCAGAAGTCACTCGTTAATTGACGTTATTGAAGTGTCGAAGCCCCACTTGAAAAGCCGCAAAGCGGTTTCAGACCGAAAACAAAAAATCAAAATAGACACGCAAACTAAATAAAAACAGACACTTGATTTTCAATACAAATGTAAAGTACACTCATGCACATGAGCATGGGTGCTAGTATGAATGCAATGCGGCCAAAGCTCAATGAAAATAACAACAACTTAAGCTTA